TTTAAATTCAGTCACAACGATTTTCAGGCACTTCTAACCTGAGTAGCGTAGCTCTGTTACCATTCATTTCCCCAATTTTCCCATTTGTTACCTATCTGTTGCATCACGTTTAAGAACTACAAGTTCTTAAAGACTGAAGCGGAATTACTTTTTTTTTAAAGCATTTTTATAGCCTGCAGAAATCACAGATGGACAACACAATGACACCCAAGACTGCATAAATAAAAGTATATTTAACTAGAAAGGCTGTGCATGTGTTTGCGTGTGTTTTATGTGTAAAAAATAATTTTCTTTGAACAGGATTCAATTCTGAGTTTGCCTGCTTCACTTTTAACGTGGAGCAGAACTCCGTGTGGAAAAACTAATGTCCTTTTATTGGCCAGCGAGAATTCCCCTTGCTTAGCACTCTGCTGCTTTTCAGCTCTTCGCTGCCAGGTACTTCTCTTTAGGCAGCAGCAATATATGGAAATTAGTTCTGGGCATTAAGGAATAACGAACAGATGGTTTAGACAATGCTTTTAAAATTAGTATTGTTTTTTCTTTAAAAGTAGTTTTGAACTCTGCCTAAGTTTCCCAACTTATTTTACTAATTATTTCCACTTACCCTTCCTTAATTCTAAGTTTAACAGAAAAATTGTGGAGTTAATATTCTTTTAAACCTAGTATGTAATATGCCAGATGTTGTTCCATAAGAATCCTTGTGTCTCGGTAACAGGAGAATTAAAAGGAGAAAATGGCATTCTAATACTATAAAAAATGCTTCAATTAAATAAACAGACCGGAGTCTCCTCCACTAATCGAGAATGCTGACGCAATTGTACAGTGACTTTTCATTCTGAACAGCTCAGACCAGTAACAGGCTTCTGAGGAGAACAAGAACACGTTAACCTGTCTGTCTTTTACGCTTGCTTTGCATTGGTCACCAAGAGGCGTGCTAACATCACCAGGGAGGCAGACGTCTGAATTTACTTACAGACATCAGAGTGCATGAAGTGTACGATAAGTGCCAAACTCCTGCCTCCAGAAGGTGATGTTCTTTCTTCCCAGAACGGGAACAATAAAAGTAAAAGCTCATGCAGGCTGTTTTTATCCTTGCAAAGTTTTGAGATCTGACATTCCTGAGGGGGATGCCAGGCTGTTGGCCGGTGAGAGCTTACGTCTTGTACGATGTGGAGAGCTGCCCATGAGGAACTCGCCAGGGTCCCGTCCGCGTGTTTCACTGACGCTATCAGAACACGCTGGAGATGGTGATCTAATCGCTGCCCACAAAGTCTGGGCTTAAGGATAACGGCTGAACTCTGAAGGGAAGCATCTCTGATGACATATGGCTCCTGCTCACCAAGCATTAAAAATGCAAAAATGGAAACGGTTAATTTGTGAAGAGATATCCAAAGCTCATCTGCTCTTAGCTTTTCAAAAGGTATCTGGAATGGACTGTAGAGTCTCAACTGTGGTAGTAATAAAGACTGATTGAGAAGATGACTGATGCTCTTAACTAATATACAGCACTTGACAGGTGAATGTTTCCTAGTTTTAAAGTAACATATGATGCACCTAGGTCAAAGTCGTTAGGGCAGGGTTATGAAGTTTTAAGCTAGTTCTTCTAAAACTGGCACTTGTTATAATTCTTCGACTATTTGAGTTTCATGAATTTTGTGTTAGCTGGAGTATTTTGTGTAGCTAACCAGTACAAATAAATGCTTTCTTGTTGGAATCTCCCTTTGATATTTTTATTCCCATTCCTGACTGTTTATCAACACAATTTGCTCCAGGTAAATTTGGGGTTTACTTCTGTAACAACAGATACACAGCTACTTTGAAAGATGAAAATGACTTGTAATACGGGGTCTGGAGATGGGGAAAGTAGGAATAGAATAGCAGCAGCATTCTGTGTGGACCAGTCACAGGGGGGTCAGAGACTGTTACTCCAATCTCTGATCTTGCCCTGCCAGATCTCTCTCATCTTCAGCAGCACCAGTGCTAATACGGGACATGTGCACAGATCATACAGTCATGGAGGTGTTGAGGAGCAATTTTTCAGCAGGCTGTACAGATAAAACAGCACATGGCACTTCTGGAGGACCTAGGTACAGCTGAAATGGCACTAGCACCTGATAAACAATATGTTCGTTATCATGAGGCAGTTCCATGGAAGCAAGGTATTAGTGCCAGCGTCGTGCTATTGAATCGCGGGATGAGCCGGCTCCGCGCGCTGGGGTGTGCGGTGTTTGCTGCATGTGCCGCAGGCTTTGGTGCCTTTGTGCCGTTCTGCTTCCACGGCGTTCACGCGAAGGTTTCACATCTCAGCTTTTCATCAATATTCAAATTTGTCATGATTCACCCGTCCTGTTTCAAATTGCTGTCTCGGCATTTGAGCAGGCTGGCTGAGCTGTGGCTCAGGCGAGCGGTGTGTGGTGGTTGTTTCTGTACAAGTTAAAGTGTGTTCAACTAAGGACGGGTTCTCATCTGCTAGTACCAGTGCAGCGGATGCTCAGTGAGTGGGAATTTACCTGAGATGAGGTTTTTGACAGTTGTAAGTTCTTACGATATGCGAAACGTTTTGCATGGTAAGATTGTTGCATAAATTATGAAAAACAGGTTGAAACAAGGACTGGCAATACCCAAGCGTACAGTTGTTTCCCAAGATAACTGCGTTTGTTAATGGCATGACACTTGTCTCGCTGGGTGCTTTCCAGCAGTCATTCAGATAGATCGGTTAGGGGATGGAGGCACAGCATACCTCAGCGGAATGAGACATTTGCATGTAAACAAACTTGTAGTAGCAATGGATTTTAAGAACATAATTTTTCAGTTTTTAGTGAAAGGTGGGGTGAAATAATAAAAGGGTGTATGCATGTGCTTATTAAATAAACCTGTGAAGAGCTTTTAAGTGCAGAGATACCATCTCTGGCTCAAAATACGTAAGCTATAAACAGCTGGATTCCTGGAGAGTATTCCAGAAAGGTACCTCTGGATATTCACCGTGTTCGTACATTCATTTATTTTGCTGTTGGTTATTACTTAATACTAAGCTAGATGGACTTCTGGTTTGAGCTGTCCCTGTGTTCAGGGTATCCTCCTGTTATGCGTGTACATATATATATATATATATTTATATTTCCCCCCTATGTGGAGGGGTACGAAGGCTGAATTAGCTGTTCCTATTTTCGTTGATCTCTGATATTGCTGCGAAACTCCAGGAAACGGAGGATGGTAACTTCGCCTGGTTCCCAGCAGTTACAAAGCTGGCTCTGCAAATCCCATCAACAAAATCTGGGAGAATACCATCTTTTGTTACATCTTCGTTGGAAGACATTCGTTAAATATCACAGGCATTGTTCCTTAAATCTCCCTAGTGTTCCCAGTTCTTCGCACGTCCATGTAGGCCTGTCAATACTACGTAAATATCAAAAGATTTGTCTTTGCTAGTTACTTACTGTCCCTACATCATCTCTCACACCTGTGGCAACTTTACCTGGGGTTGCCTAGAATTACTCCTAAATATTGGATAGCATAGGCCCACTTAATTATATAGTGAATTTGCCTTCATAATGAAAATCTAAATTTCTGACCTCTTCTGGAATGTAAAAACACCAAAGCTTGGAGAAGGGCTTCCAGTCTAATTCCAGTACTGTGTTCTTTTTTGGAATTGTAGCATATCTGGGGAAAAAAGCCTGCCTTCCCTCCACCCCGGAAAAATAAAGGTTCTATTTTAACTCTTCCATACATTGTACTAATTCATTATGGGAAGGGATTTCTGGTTGTACAGATGATGATTTCCTTTAGTTAGACTTTACTTTTTTGCTTATGTGTCCTTATTTGGTGTGCTTTGATAAAGTCATGCTGCTCCTTGTATAAAAGGGTGCGATCTGTCGCAGAGATTCAGCCAAATTCTAAACATCATGGCTGTAAGTGTATCAGCTCATGGCAACCACTGGCGGGATGCCCAGTAAAACAAATAAGAATAATCTGATTGTTAGATGAAACAATGAGACACATGAGGAACTTGGTAGTACTTCAGTAAGTCTCTTTAGCTTAAATTCTCTTTTCCTCATCAAAAAGCTCAGTCAGCAGATCAGTGGTTTTGTTGAGATGAGCATGTTTGTGTTCATACATGTCATATTTTGAATCTTAAGAGAATAAAAAAATTGTATGATATATCATACTTTCCCTTTTCCAATTTGATTTAAGCAAACTTACAGAAGTAGGTTTTTACAAATGTTCTTGTGGTGCTGCTTACTGCCTGTTAATGGCTTTGTTTTTCAAAGCGAGCTGGAATGTGCACAGCCAGCTCCTCTCTGTATTGAATTTTATCCCATTATGTGTACATTTGTCTATAGAATGGTACATTAACCTGAAGATTAGCATAGCTGTTCGCAGGCTTCCCTGTTACTAATCATCACCTCTGCTTTGCAGAACATCTTCCAGTCCTGTAGGTCTGCAGGTCTGTAGAGCCCTTGGAAGTTTTTACCTTTTTATATTCTCCTTTGCTACTAAGCATGAATTTATTTTTTTTTTTAGAATATTCCGCTTGTTTGGATTTTTTTTTTTCACTGAATAATTAAGTTCTACAGTTCGATTACTGTACTGCGTGTTTGATTATTGCAGGCTATAGAATTTCCCCCTCTGCTTTATGCTGTATAATTTAATCCTTTTTGAAAGGGATTTAGCAAATTGCAGGTAGAAGAGCTATTGCTTTTGTGACTTTTTTCAAAAACTTTCTGCTGCTTCATTAATACGATTGTCATAGTAGCAAAATCAGCTCAGGAGGGAATGACCCTCGGAACACCATGACTGGCCAGCCAAGAACCGGAACAAATGTCTAAGGGAAAAGTCGGGAATGTTGGTCAGTGTGTTATGCTGGCAGCTGGATTATCAAACCGATCATCATTTCATCAGGATTTTTTTTGTCCTTTATATTTTTCAGTTGATTCATTAGATCCTTGAACTAAAAAAAAAAAAAAAAAAAATCCTTTGAAATTCTGTTTTGTCTTCAACAGTGCCCTTAAAGATAGTCGTTTCCCCCCAATGACGAGGGACGAGCTGCCACGGCTTTTCTGCTCAGTGTCTCTACTCACTAACTTTGAAGATGTATGTGACTACATGGACTGGGAGGTAAGGATGTCAGAGATCTTTTAAGAAAGTTACCTTGATACCATGAACATCTATAGCAGAAGTCACACCATTTAAATTGTCTGCTTCTCTTTAGTGTAGTTGTTGCTGTTTTGCACGCTATACACATTGATTTGTGCATAGATTCAAAAGATCCTTGTGGCAGAACTGTCATCACCTTAAAAGTCTGAGCCATGGGAGTGGAATAAAGCTGTGTTCTTGCCCGCTGACGCACTCAGAGTGGCCTCCAGAGCTACGTTTATGTCCAAGGCTCCACCAAGCCAGGTACTGTCTGAGTGACGGTGTCCTGAGACCTCCCACGCAGCAAAGCTGGCTCCAGAAACAGGGTAGGTGAGCCCATGGAGCCTGGAAAGAGGACGTTCCAGTGTGGAAGTTAATAGTTTGATGTATGCTTCTGGAAACAAGCACTGCAAAAAATTGCAGTGCCAAAGCAAGCTGCCTTATTTCACTTGTCGGAACGAGCCACTTATCTTTCCTAGAACTTGCTTTGCTTTCAGAGCAAGTGGCCTGCACAGACCCCACAAAGCCCTCACCCAGTGAGAACAAGGAAATCATTGCTCTTGTTTTCCTTTGCTGCTTCTGCATGGAGCTGAATCTATTTTCATTTTTAGGTTCTAGGAAAGCTGCATGCTTTCTCTTGGAACAATAGCATAAAAGAGGTTAAGAAGCAAATGCTGCTTTTAGAGTTATTTCTGGGAAGGTGTACTGAAGGAAGGGTTATTCTGTATTCTGCTTTTTCCCCAATTATTTGGTATTAGTCACTTGCAAAAAAAAAGTTACTGGACTCAAGATGAACTTCTCATCTCAGTCTGTATGGCTGTTGTGTTCTCTTTGAGTCCGTATTTGAGTGGACACCAAAACAAACTTGAAATTGTTATATATGGTAGCAGACATGTTATAATGCCAGAGACACCTCGCAAGTTACAGTAATAATGATGTAGCCCTACTAAATATTTAGGATTTGTTAAGAGCAAATGAGGCTTCCTATTGTATTCACACATAATGAATGTACATGGAATAGCAATGTCATTTGTTGTTAAATGGTAGCAGGCCCTACCTGAATGGTTGTACCCAGCAGTACCCTCAGCATTATGGATTTTACAGTAGCTGAAAAAAAATTTGTTTGCTGTGCAACTAATACTGACAAAGGCTGCTTACCTCCTGATATGTAATTCTGAATGAGATGAATATAAGTCTCCTTTGGGGTTTATCAGCATTTTCACCATAAACAGAATTATTCACTTTTTATGTAATGTCAGACCAAAAAATAAATCTTAGTGAACCTGTGTATGCATTTGCAACAAGGAGCTTTTTGCAGAGAAGTAGTTTGTCTTGTCACTGAGCCCTTAGAGTACTTTAGACAATGTTTTCACGTAGTCAAAACTGTAGTAACTTGTAATAGTAAACCAAGCTAAAAAACAAAATCAAAACTGGGAGAATTTTCAATTTAATTTTATTTACTATAATTTATTAAAAATCAGACTATGAATACACTCAGAAATAGCATTTAGCTCTTTCCATGTGGTAGTCTATAAATACTATTAGATGCTGTTCTGTTATCTCAGTAATGAACTTCTGAGATGAGCAAAATATTAATCCTTAAAGAGAAGCTGAAACCAAAACCTAAGTTCAAAAATCTGCTTTCCCTTGGAAAGACTGGTTTTAACTTTGTTCCTCGGGAGGCTTATGATCCATGACTTTAATACTTGTATGAAACAAAGGAGGCTTTTCCTTCCTGTGCCCTTTCTATATCTTGTTGCAGAATCCTTGAGACTTCAACAAGAGTTTGAACAAGCTTAATGCAGAAATAATTGTGATTGATTTTATGGATTCTCATTATTCTTCTTATTGGAAAGCCCTGACTTATGAGGGAAGAATGGAGGGGTCAAAATATAGTAGTCCTTGTGTTATCCATTTGCTTAGTTGCTTTCTCCTATTTCAATTAAGGTTTTTTAATTATAGGTTTTTAAAACCTTTAGCAAATTCTGAGGTATTCCAAGAAATGGTCACAAAGTAGTTTCATGATTTGGTTGGGGTTTTTTTCCTTTTTTCCTGTAAGTTAAATGTGTTCTCAAGTGATTGTATCGTCTATAGTTGTGGATGATCCAGAAGGTTTCTGTGCAAAAGGGGTGGAGCATGTATGAATATGAGAAAGATAACACTTGTCATTGTTAGTCCTTACAAGAATGATTAATCGCTGTTTGCGCTGCTGTCAGTGGGGCAGCGTGTCACCCGTGTTTCTGGTGGGGGAGCTGCAGTTATGCAATATTAATGGTAAAAAGACATTTCAGAGTGTCTGGAGTATGATGTAAAGAGAGATTCTGCATCTTCCATCTTGTATAATGCCAATTGCCAGATCATCCTAAAAAACATCAGCCTCTTTAGGACACCTTACTTCTGTAGGTATGCTACCGATGGTCTTCTGGGAGCCAGTTCAGCAGTTTGCTGACAGAGGTCACAACATTTCCAAATTGCCGATCCAGACAACTCTCAGTGCTCTGGTGGCTTAGAGACAAGATCATCTGAAGACATGGCTCGGGAGTGTCTCCTGTATCCTGAGGCAGAGTGATAGATCTTCTTTTCTCTGATTAATGAATTATCTTCCCAAACTAAATAAATTGTAAAAAGCAACGTGAAATCCTTTTGCAGCAGAAACTTGAACCAAGTAAAGGGGAGATAGGAGTGATCTGACTGCTATTAGCTCCCATGTGATTTTTCAAATTGCTGCCATTTTCGCCTTTTATAAAAGTAACTAGAAGAAAGTACCGATCTTTAAAGGACCGCTTCAATGCCATGGTTCATGAGGATGCTCCCTAAAATACAATTGAGCATTCTTACTTCCATGTGACTTTAGATGAATTGCGGTGCACTCTGGTGGAACAGATGTAGGGCTTTGAAATGAACACGGGGAGTGATGAGCTGTTTCTTCGTTTCTGCGAGACAGATCCCATGCGATATTGCTGTGGTCCAGTTGCTGCTGGGGTGGAGTTTCCCAGCCTTTCCATCTCAAAGAAATGGGCAACATGAGAAACTCTTAAGAAATGTTTCTTTTTTTCATAGTACTGCTCTTTAATTAAAGATATCAAAGGACTACTTGGGACGCTAAGTCATAACGACCAATTGTTTTTGAACACATTTGATATTGATGTCTGTCATTCCTTCCCGCATAAACTCAGCTTTATCTGTAGTTCCATTCTCCTTGAGCTCAGCTTTTTGATCTGTCCTTCTGCCAAGTCTTTTCTTTCCTGCACAAATTTGAAATCCTGCCTCAGCGTGCCTCCAGCTTTGCTGTTGATTCCCGACACAGGAATATTTGCATCGGGTGTTGCACTGGGAGCTGTCAGGAATGCAGAAGAGTTAGAAGAGATTGCGGTGAAGTATCGTGGCTTTGGGTCCTCTAGCAAGAACTTCTGTTTGGTTTGTGAAGCAGGTGAGTCTGCCATTTAAGCCTGCAGAAGGTGCTGGGCGTGGGTCGGGTCCCAGAAGTGGCGTATATAAGGTGTGATGGTGTCGTAGGTCTTGCAGTTCCAGCTGTGGTGCTATGGACTCTGCCTCCTTGAGAGGGTACAGCTGCAAGGTACGTCACCATGGCAAATGACTCACTGTATCCCCTGCGTGCTTTTTTTCCTAGAAATACAGAAAATCAAAGTACCTCTACTCATTCCCTATTTCATGTTGTAGCAAATGAACACCTTTTCAATTTATTTTCTCATTAATTTGATTAAGAAGCTGTGGGGTTTTTTGCTAGAAGGTAAAGCCTGTCTTGCTAATTCAGACCCTGTCCCTGTTTTTTAATTAAAACATCATAAAACATTATGATTGTATGTAATTATAAACTTTTTTTGAAAACATTATTGTAATTCCAACAGGGTAATAAATAACTGGAATTGACCAGCAGCTCTTCCTTAAATACCTTGAAAGAGATCTTTGCCCTGAAGTTGCTGTTCTTCAGTCCAGTACAATCTGCAGGACTGTACACGCTTCCTGTGTAGATACAGACAGCCTTTAGCCTGCCTGCGCTGGTTTAAATATTAGCTGAAGTGGTTGTAGCCTGTGACGGTGACTGAAAGGTGGCTTTTCATTGTTGACAAAGTTCGTACCTTTAAGAGTTGGGGAAGTTCTTTCCTTCCTGCAAGCGCAGGAGCACCAGCAACTTCTGCAGCTTGTATTCATTAAAACAGAGAAGTCTTGATCTCAATGTTTTATTCTCTTTGGACTATATTCAGTGATTCCATGTATGTAAATAAATGATTAATTTAAAAAAAGAATGCTTGCCATGAAGTGGAGAGTGTATCTCCTGAGTAGCCTTTGCCTCCGTTGTTAAATCAGAACGTAATATTTAAGCCCTGCTAAAGCTGATCAGAAAGCAGCAGCGTATTTTCTACAAACGTGAGGCTATAAAGCTGTAGAATTCAGCTAATAAAAAGTGGGGTCAGCTTCTAATAAGTAGCGATAGTTGCTTAATCCAAAGTGTTCCACCGCCAGACACATCTGTGTGCAGCTGTTTCCACTGTGCTGGTTGGGTAAATAACGGGGAGTGTTACTGGTGCCATCACAAGGAACGCTGTACAAGCTGTAGGGCAACTTTGTTATTTGAAAACGTTCATAGCTTGCCGCTGTTCGCAGATGAAGCTGACAACCCGTAAGTCAGCAGAAGGCTCGGCCATAGCCCAGAGCAGCCGGATCTGGTTCATCGTGGTTCCGTGAATGCTCGGACTGGTAGAACCCAGAGGCAGGCGAGGTTTGTCGCAGTTGGAGCGGTGTGCTGGCAGGAAGGGTTGTACATTGGGCCCTGGCTCTGCTCTGGAGAGGAGGAGAAGAGCAGATGGTGAAGTTGGGGAAAAGGGAGACATTGGTTTCTGACACCAACGAGGTGCTGCCAACCCCAGCTCTGGGGTATTCCACGTGGATACTTCGTAACAGATTCTTTGTTATCTGTGTTAATGCCTTTCTGAAAAAATGTTAGCAATTAATTAATCTTAAACTAATTAGTGATAATTACAGATTTCAGTGCAGTAGAGAGAACTGAACAGAATGATTATTTGATGATAATTTACTCCACAGTCGACTAGAAGCTTAAATTTCAGCAAGGGTTGATGTTTTAGATGCTTATCCCAATTCTGTGTTGGTAGTCCAAGAAGAATAATGTTATTTCTTCCTCCCGGTGTGGGTGGACAGTCAGTGCAAGAGGAACAGGTTTGGAACTTTGCGTCTGAACAGTCAAACATGAGAGCTGCTTGAACTTCAGTTTCAGGGTGGGTTTTGGAACAATTTTTTCTTAACCCAACTGAGAAATATACAGAGAGAAGTATTACGGGCAATAATCTATCCAGAGCCAGAAGCACTTGGCAAAACAATAAATGTGTGTGCGTGTTTTCCCCCATCCTGGCATGTATGTAAATAAATGATTCATTAAAAAAAATAATGTGTATAAATGAATATGAATGTGTACAAATACACAACAAAGACTGAAGTTCTTTTGAGGTCACTTCAGCAATAAAATAAAAAACGTAGTTTAATGCAATCCTTAGATTTAGTGAAAGGTCTGTGGCTTTTCAGTAATGTTGTCACTGGATCTAGCTGTAGGTAGCCTCTGGCCACTAATACAGTGGGCCAAAAAGTTTATATCCACAAGTATTGGATACATAATACACAGTATTTCATACCCTAAAACCCCTACAGAAATAGTTCTATTGGAGGAGATTGGTTTGTTGCCTTTTGAAGTCTCTCTCCTTGTCTCCCTTTCCTCTCCCCATAGCAGCAGGCTGAACAGGTCGCTGTCCGCTTGGGAGGCTGGAACCACGACTGTGGGGTCTTGCGACAGCTCACCATACCTGTAAATAGTCTTTGCCATAGCACATGGTGATGGATGGGACAGAAATTAACCTCTGTCTGCAGAAGGAGATTGTTGGGTGTTTTGTGAGCTGCACGGATGTTGTTATTCTACAAAAGCTTGCGTGTGGTCTGTGGGTGTTTGAGGAGCATGCCGTAGGCTTTGTGTAAAGTTCTGTGCTGAGCCCAGTAGGCAAACCAGTTCCAGTCCAGTTAGTGCCTTCCAAACCCGGACATACCCCTCACCTCCCATCTTAGAGAGGAATATTTTGGGACATTTCACAGGAGTTTTCATCAATGCAGGAATAAATCACGATAAATCACGATACCCTTTTAAACAGAAACCATTCATTTCCACATCCAGTGTTGGGAACTTTGGGTTTAAATGGAAATAACAGTTATGAGGGCATGAAGAGAAAAATGTCTGTCCACTAATGCTTTGTGTTTACGCCCAGAACTCAAAAGCAACTGAAAACTTTCTGGCAATGGAATAACTTTTACGGAATTCCTGATCCCAGGGCAGGTGCTCAGCAGAATTATTGTACCTTGAAAACAGGGGTGCTTAAACAATGCCCTGGAAAGGTGCCTAGTCTCATTTTCTTTTTTTAAAATTTTTTTCAGCAGGTCAACTTTATGTACTTTTGACTCCTTGGTATTAGTAATTCTGGTTTCCATACTGGCATTTCATCATCTTACTTAGTAGAGTGGAAATAGGAGTTTGAAGCTGAGTGCTTTGGAGTATCTCCTTTTCCTCGTCAAACATTAGCAGAAATTTTGAAGGCTCCAGGCTCAAGTTCGTGGCGTGACAAATCTTTCATTTTCACTTGTTATTTGAACAAAATTACTGCTCTTAATTGAAGCATCATTAGATTTGCCAGCTCTTCAGTTGCCTGCAGATTCTTTCTGGTGACCAGGGGATTTTGCTGCCAGTGTCAGAGGGAGACAGTAGAAAGGAGACAGAACGAGTTGTGTCTCAGCTGGCTTTCCTTCAGACCAGAAATGAAGCTCTGTGATGGGGAGCTGAGGATTGTGTTTGTGCTGCTGCTGACCTTCCAAGGCTGTAAGGTGATGAACACTTCACAAAAATGTTACATTCCCTTTAGTCCTGCCTCTTGAAACTCTTTGCAAAATGGTATTAACCACTGAGAGGTTCACATTTTGGGTTTTATCATGTAAGAAATCTCTTGTCTCTTTTTTTTCTTCGAATGTACTAATAAAGCTCCAATTTCTTGCAGGTGGGTGTACATGGCATTAGAATAGAATTCATCAATGAAAAAGGATCAAAACGCACCGCCACCTACCTACCGGAGGTTGCAAAGGAGCAAGGTCATTGTTGCACTTTATTTCCTATGATCTGGTGAAGAATTTAAACATACGTGTAAATCTAAAATGCAATAGTTGACCTTGCACTGATGTCAGATGATGGAGCAATACTTAACTGTAAGAAGACTCTTATATAAAATGCCAATTACATGCCTCTATCAATCCCCGTGTAGGAATTCAGTAAACTGTAGCTGTTTTTTTAAAAAAAAGTCATAAATGCAGCATCGCTGTAGGAAAATAAAAACAGAGGGGGGTGGTACAGGGCTGTCAGACGCCTTTGCAGTAGTTCAAATCTGCCAGTTTTCATATAGTTGTTACACTGCAATATTAGTGACATGCAAAAACTCTGTTAAGTGATGGGATGTCTGGTCGATTATCCTAACAGCTGTTAAATTTGCAATGATCATGTATTTTTTTAATTAGGTACTTTCTGCTGGTACTTAATTCCTTTTAAAACCACTGCCTTCCTGGGGGTTTTGATGGTTCAATATAAAATTAGTTTCAATATGAAAGTCCAAAATAATATTGTTGAAGTCCCTTTTAACAGTGGCACAGACTTAAGTTTGTAATTAAAAAAAACTAGAGGAGATTTTGTTGAATAGTAATCTTTTGGACCAAGCAGCTGACTGTGACTACTCAAGTTTTTTTTCTTCCAAGCTTGACCGTATGTCTCAATCTTTTACATTTTGCATTGCTGGTTTGTTGGTTTTTTTTTTTTTTCCCCGCCTTATATTTGAGTTGGTCACAGGAATAGGATTAAAACCTCTACTGAGGATCATCTTTAATTGATGAATCTGTTTCCAAAGAGTCATTTAAAAATTTAGAGGCTTTCCAAGACAATTATTTTGCTTTTGTAATCTAAGGTTGGCTAGTTAGAGAAGTAGATTTTTGGCGAGACCTTTGGTGATTGCTTACGCAAGCTTTTTAAATTCAGGAATTGGAGAAGGCGGCGTGTTTACATTTCCAAATAATTTTAGTAGACCATGCATTGCAATCTGACTCTTAAAAGTACCCAAAACTACCCATTTGTAATTTTTTTAATGTACCTTGTTTCGGTTTTTTTAATGCAACAATGTGACTAATCTAATTGCATCTTCTGGAAATAACATGTGTAACAGCTACTGTAAAATATTAGGCTTTTAAAAATCAATAAACAGAAGTTTTGAAAAGCATGAAGGTTTTACTGAGAGCAATAATGAACCTGTACTTTTAATCCGTCACCTTTTTTATTATCCAGACACCTACAGTATAATACAGTAGTTCTAAAATTAGAAATATTGCTGTGCAGTTAAGTGATATTTATGGAGAAGTCTAATCTCTGAAGTTCTCTGCACATGTTCAACTAATAATTCTTCTAAATTTTATTTTACACAGAAATTTAATTTTTCATACTGTCAAGCCATTTATAAGTCATTGTGATGCATGATCCTATCTGAACGTTTCAGAACGGTTTGATTTTGCATCTCACCCCTAGTCTGGGACACCTGGATATAGTGGGTCCACTTTTAAAATATTTCAGCGATGAGATAAAAATGTTTGTAGAGCAAACTTTGTATGTAAAGAAATCCTGTATGTCGTATTTCCTTCAACTGTTCTTAAAAGAATATTGTGTGTTCGGTACAGAACTTCAGCAGAGCATTTCCACTGCCAATAACACAACACACTGTGTTGGATTTTTGCAACGTCTGTTCTTATTGCTGTATTTCTCACTAATTATTACTCTTGTAAAATTCAACAGGATGGGACCACATTCAAACCATAGATTCCTTATTGAGGAAAGGAGGCTACAAAGCTCCGATCACTAATGAATTCAGGAAAACAATAAAGCTAACCAGGTATGCACCATGGGACACCGCGGCTAAGTCCTGGGTTTGTAATTCTGTGATGTGTTCCTTCCTGGTAAGTGTTTATTTCCAATGTTAATAGTCAATTTTTTTGTAGATATTGTAATGATTTCTTTCTTTTCACAACAGCAGAATGGACTTTTGGGAATATCTGTGCCCTGCATAGGGATTAGTGGCACTAAGCAAGAAGGAAAGGGCTGCTGTTAAGGATCAGGCTCCATATCTGTCAGGGTATCTCCCTATTTTGGTTCATAACTCTGAAAAATCTTAGCAGTGTATTAGCTCTTGCTTTTTTACCTTGGCTGTACGGGATCTCCAGGGGCTGTGAACAAGGATCACTTGCCACTGTCAGTCTGTATGTGAGCAGATGGTGCGCTCCGGGTCTGCCGCTGTGGAGCCGCAGCAGCCCCCCAGTCCCAGTCATCTGGCAGTGCTCAGAGAAAGCGTCGGGGCTTCTTTATCTCCTGTGAAGTGTGGGTTTCCCTTGGCAGGGAACAGTGGGTATGCAAACCAGGTAGTTGGTTTGACAGTCCCTGTACTAGTTAAACTGTGTCAGGGTACTCTCAGGAGCAAAGCCGTGAATTCAATATTTTATTTCATACTCTGTCACTCTCACACACTGGTGTGTTTTGATTTCGCTCATTGAATAAAATGTGTCCTTGGGAGCTTCTTAGTGGGTGGGAGCCACAATATTTTTGAATTAGCAGCAGATATTCTGCCCATAATATTGAAGTTATATGGTGAAGGGTAGAGGTGTAGAAGTCTATAAGAACGCCTCTAAAACGATATATTTGTATAAGCTTGCAGAATGAAATGACTGCTAAACTCTAGTTATCTGTTCCATGCTTGGAAGAATAAGAATTTTTAAAATCTTACATCATAAGGAAGTATTGGCTGTTCATCCTCTTCAGGGAGCCCACACTTGGCATCCTGTTAATACAAATAACGGTTCGAATCCTTTGTCCAAAACTGTTCTCCTTCCTATCTTTTATCAACTTCCAGGGACTCATAGAGTCAAAAGATTAGTTCTAAAAATGTTGTAAATGTTGCTCTTGTTTCTGTGTCCTGATTTCTTTGGAAAGTCATTCCTTCTTTGTGCAGCTAGGCATAAGCCAGATTTGACTTTTGTCCATAATTCAAACCCAATCCTTTCATCTCAGACATTTGAAAATACTTGGATCCTCCTGATTGTTTATGACTTTTATAGGACAAAGACCTGAGATTTTGTTTCTTTTCAGTTTCTATGTTTGTTATCTTCATCTACAGATCTTGCTATGCCTTAGTAGCAGTTTATGTTTAGACCAGGCAAAGCATTTCTTAGAAAAATAAATATTTTAGTATTAGACAAGTGACTTGTTCAGTGATCTTGTGGATGAAGAACAAAGACTTTGTCTCAATAACTGTTCAGAATTCTGGATTCTTGTAGAAACTGGTCACTGTGGAGCAGCTTTGACTGAGGAAAAGATGCTATTCTGAAGGTTAAATTAGGGAGGGTTTACAGAACCCAGCTAAATTTCCAAGTGCAGAACCCCAGTCTCTTTTTAATTTATTTCAGCGGAACACCTTGTTATCTTCTGTTCAAAAAAAAGAAATGGAGATAGCTGAGGGCAAGAGTAACAGTGTTATGGTCCTTAAATGCCAATTTCTGCACACCTCAAAAAATAAGGAATATATTTTTACAAGAAACAAAAATTCTATATAGCACACATTTTCTTCCAGCTACATGACTTTGTTTGGCCCCCAAAAACCACTACCAGACCCTCTGTGTTTAGTGTATTTAACTTCACAATGTCCAGACTGCTGGCAAAATCCCTGGCCTGGTAATGGAATAAACAAAGCTTAATTTTTAATGTTCATTAGAAATTTATTTTTTGGCTGTCTGTTCTACGTGTTTAAAAACTCTGCTTCTGCTGGCATATTATACGCAGTGGTATTAAAGCAGTAACCACTTCCCAGCATCAGCCAACCTTTTGTAGAGCCTCATTTTCATAACTTCTTGTCATACAGTAAAACATCTGTTGGAAGAGTGGAATAAGTGCTTTCAGCTTCCAGTCTCTGAATTGAAGTAAATGTCCTGCGTGTGAATAAAGCTTTAGGCTGGTCAGAACTAGTCTATTGCCAACTATCTTCAAGTTAATACCCAGTAGTTCTGGCCATGTTTTGAAGGAGAGACCTAAAAACCAGTGGAGCTGGAAAGAGGTGTACCAATTGTGGGGGTCTGGAATGTGTAAGGACAGTGGCTGCGTTTTCCCTTCCATCTGCTGAGAGGAGCAGAGGTGATTGGAGTCGGGCTGCCTTTGGCCTGCTTTGACCCACGTAAAACCAACTTCATTAACTGCCAAGCTGGTTTAGTTTCGTGCTGGCAGGGGATTTCATGCACAGCCCAGCTTACTCCTCGAGCGCAGGGGCCGCGTACATTCCCAGCAGTTCCAGACGAGCTGCAGTGAATCTCTCCGCAAGGACCAGCGGCCGTTTGTTCAGCGGGTACATCATGAACAAAACCTCCTCTATCGTCAGAGTGGGCACCTTGGGCGCTCCGAAACAAAAAGCTGGAAGTGCAAGGTGTTCTGCTCTGTTCCTCTGGCAGCGAGGCAGCCGTAGGAAGTGTGTTTGCCACCGTAATTGCTGCTGTTGGTACCTCCGCAGTAGCTCAAACTTTTGTGTTGGGTTGTGAGTGCAAGCGGTTGAGCCATCTGTTGGGTTTTTTTCAGACTTGGGAGAGAACAACCAGAGCAACTCCAGAAGAAAAATGTGACAGAGAGGAGAGGTGGCAATATTTTAAATTACTGTAGCTGAGTTCATGAGATCTCATCTGTCAGATCTCTTATGCAAGGTCTAAGTGAAATTTGTGGAAATGTGGAACAGTGTTGGTTTGGTGTAGATTTTAACGCTTCTACAGATAAGTGTAAATATGGCAATATGTTCCTTGTCACCAAACAATCCTGGTGCAAGTATATCCAAAATATTTGTTGTCAGGGCCTGGATTCTGCTTTTAGTTATGTACAGCTGTCTGGTTTTATCATGGGACCTCTCTCCATTATTTTTCAATGGTCTTGGGAGTCTGGAGAGGTTCCAGTCAACTGTATGCTGGCAAATGTCCCATTTTTCAAGAAGGGTAAGAAGGAAGACCCTGGTAACCGAGCCTGTCAGTCTCACTTCAGTGCCTGGTAAAATTATGGAGAAGTTCATTCTGGGAGTTACTGAAAAACACTTGAGAGACAATGCAGCCATTGACCATAGCCAGCATGGGTTCAGGAGGGGAAAGTCCTGCTTCACCACCTTAGGTCCTCCATCTGATTGACCAGGGGAAACCAGTAGATGTGGGGGTTTTTTATTTTAGCAAAGCTTTTGGTGCTGTTTCTAACAGTATCTTTCTGGACCCTATAAATTATAAATTATAAATTATTATCTGTATAAATGACCTGGATGCAGGAGTCAGATGTGCATTGCTTGCCGATGGTAGTAAACGAGGAGGAGCTGTGGACTCCCTTGAGGGTGGAGAGGCCTGATAGAGATCTGGGAAGACCAGAGAGCTGGGCAATCACCAGCTGTAGGAAATTTAACAAGAGCCAAGTGCAGGATCCTCCGCCTGGGGTGGGGTAATCCTGGTTTTACGTTCAAACTGGGGGATGAGAGGCTGGAGAGCAGCCCCGTGGAAAGAGCTGCTGATCTCCCCTCTCTGGTGACCAGCGACAGGACATGAGGAAGTGGAATGAAGCTGGATCAGAGGAAGTTCAGATTGGATGTTAGAGAAAGGTTCCTCACTGAGAGGGTGGTCAGCAACAGGAACAGACTCCCCAGGGCAGCGGTCACGGCTCCGAGCCTGTCGGAGCTCAAGGAGCGTCTGGATGATGCTCTCAGTCATATGGTTTAGTTTTAGGTAGTCCTGCGAGGAGCTGGGAGTTGGACTCGATGATCCTTATGGGTCCCTTCCAACTGAGATATTCTATGATTCTAGTCTAAAAAGAATGTAACTCCGTTTAATGTAGCTTGGATTATTTTAAAAGCAGAGTTTGGCAGACAGTTGATACTGATGGTTTAAAAACAGAGCAAAAATCTGTAGTGCTTGTTTATGGCTTTTCTCCTAGGTTTTATGTAGAGAGTTAGCTGAAGATAACGGGACATTCTCAACACATCTCATGAGTTTCTATTCCCTCTACTTCGAGCACCACAGCGGGCAACAGTTTTTAACAGTTCTGTTTGCTTAAAATATTTTTCATAAGCACTTATGTTGTGATTTGTCACATGATTCAAGAATGACCCTGACAACTGCGGCGGTTCCCTCCCTGGGAACCTGAAACTGAAGTCAGTCTTACTCCTGCCAACAACGGCGTTGTTACCGTTAACCCTACCGCTAGTGCAGTATTTGCACTGCTACTTACAGCTTCCTGGTAACAGTTCTTGAACTTGCTGCTTTCCTCTTTTCTAGGTACCGTAGTGAGAAGATGACGATGAGCTACACAGAGTACCTTGCCCATCGTCAGCATCATCACTTCCAAAATGGTATTGGGCACCCCCTTCCACCGTACAACCATTATTCCTGACACTGAGCCGCATGACCAGTCACTGGACCTCTCTGCAGACCTCTTCCCAGGAGACCCTGCCCCTTCTTGGTCTAGCTATCTCTATTACTGTACCATTTTATGATGATAGTTTCCGTTGCCATGTTGAGGCTTCTTAGTTGGTTAAAGCTCATCATGGCAACGGGAGGGAAAACCACATTACTACAAAGATCCCATCCTTTTTTTATTATTGAGTCACTGCAGATTTTTTTGCAGCATCTATAGCCCTTGGGTTTTTTATGAAATTTTAAATTTCTATTTCATTAACATTGAATTATATCAATCAAGGCTTTCTGTGACTGTGGATGGAAGGAAGAGTTTGAGGATTACAGTTCGGGATGCTTTGCTTAGTAAAAAGGCATTCATGGCTTTTGCATTGAGAGGTGTGACAGGGAATGAAACATATCAGATTCAGGTATTATACTAGACAATGAATTGCATTTTCATAATGTCCTTAATAACATTGTGTGTACAGCATCTCACCCCCACAGTGCAGATTCCATGTAGCTGTGCACATGATCATCAGATCTAGCACATCCAGCCAAAATGTCAAGGCTGACACGCAAAATGATTTTTTGGATGAAGGGAAGCAATTACACGTACAATGAGAGGTGATGTTAACACAGCAGCCGTTTCAGAATGAAGTGGTCTAACTGATAGGGCGCGACATAACCCAGCAGGCTACCGGCTACCCTTGTCTCCAGCCTGTGCTGGGAATTGAGGGCAATCCAGCCCTGTTGGGACCAGTCATAATAATGCATTTGTAATGAGACGATGCCTTTCTGATGATCTCAAATTAGGAGTGACATTGTTTTTGAAAGCAGGTTGGTGAGTAGCAGATGTCATATTAGGAAGAAAGTGGATTTAGATTTTAGTGCCTTTGACGATGACATAACTATAGACTTATATAGGAAATTCATAGAAAAACTATAGCAAATATGCCAGACACTCTAGCAAACTGCATTGAGTCTGCTCTGGCATCACATTTGGGGGGATTTTTTTAAAGTGAGACTTTTTTTTTATAGCAAACCTATTCTGGAAAAGGAAAAATCTCTGTTTTGTTCTTTCTTCTGCTTTTGAACTCATTGAGTTTTATCAAGTCATGAATAGTTAGATAAAGTTAACTTGTTGAAAAAAGTTGTGAAAGAGCACAGGACAAAGTATGCCATAATTTTACCTGTTTTCTTCTGTTACAGGAGTAGTACTTGAGAGCAATAAGTACTGTGTAATAATTCTGATACCCCTCCACACAGCAGAAGAAAGAAAACTGGTTGGAGCTTTTTCTTGCTGTAAAAATAGGATTTAGTAGAAGGTATGTGTGGTATATTTGCAAGCCCAGTATATGGTAGGAGCTAGCTCCTTGCTCATGTGCCTGCAGAACTCCCACTAATACCTGTAGTAGTTCAGTGAATATTTTAGGGGACAACACATGCCACCATCTATTATAGAAAAGACCTTCCTAATATGAGTGAGTAAACCACAGTAAGCTGAAATTATTTTGAATAATGAATGTCTGTAAATATCAATATATAAAATTCAAATACATAAAAGTAATTAAAATTCAGTTGTTAAAAAAATCAGACTAATTGTAAAAATGTTTCAATAAGGTTTCAAAACCAGATATGGATAAATTATGCTCATCCCTTACGTGAGGTTAGCTTTGCCACTTAACTTCTATGGAGGTTCTTGCAGAAGGTCTTTGGTATTCCTTCATCCACAGCATTTGATGTCCAAATATTAACGTTTTCAGTTGTGATGCCTTAACTTATAAGCAGAGGGCCTGAAATTTCAGGAGCCAAGAGATGCCAGCCAGAAGCTGCAAAAATTAATAGATGTTTATACAGAGGCTATTTTGGATGATACTGTTGTCTTGTTTCTACTTGGGGAACACTTTTAAATGGATTAATCTTCAAGTGGAAATTGTGAACAAGTGGCTACCTGATAGAGTTGTGTTGGTTTTTTTTTCTTCTTGCCCTTATAGGGAAACTGAGCACAAACTGAATCATTCTGCTGCAGAAAAAAAAAAAAAAAAAAAAGGTCATCCAACCCCATCTTTATCTGTCATCTCGTTACAGCATGCTCATGCTTCTGTATGAGCTCATTGTTAGAAGTTTTTTAAAAAGATCTATTATATATAAAATATATATGTATTGAAAGGTGCTAATCAACCTCAAGCAGGTCACGTGACTGGTCATGCGGATCTAAAATCATATCAGATTTTTAAAAAAATCTTCGATATATGCAGATGTTATACAGAATTTCTTACCAGTGTAATAATGATATACTGATGAATAAACAATCCTGCAGGTTTTTAAGGACAAGGTCAGCAATACTTCCCACCATGGCTTGGGGGGGAAAAGGATAGTTTTGTCTCCTTTTTTGTATACAGCATAATGCACAATGCATTTTTGTCTATCTCTTAGTAGCTGTTGCTTAAAAAATAGAGTTAAAAGGGTGTTATACAAACTGTAAAGGTGTGCTTTTGAAATGAGTTCATGCCAGACCCTTCTGGACCAGAATTTTGTATCACTGATTAAAAAACTGTTACAGAGTCTGTGGTCAATCAGATTGTATGATTTTTTTTTTCTTTTTTTTTTTTTTTAAGATTGGAATAATCAGTCTATCGACAGTGTTTCTAGGGCACCTACCTCCTCAGCATGCAAGTGCTGAAAATGCTATGGATTGTTTCTGTGTAATTGTGGGTTTATTTGTACAAAACGTGCAGTTCACTGTGACATGCACTGGGACAGAACAGGTCTGTTTGCTCAAAGCTGATCAACAGTTGCTTTCACCATTGTCATTCCCTCCTAGTTATGGTTAGTACCCTTCTAGATATATTCCTGGGTTTAGATACAATTTTTTCTAATTATTTTTTTTTATTTGGGGTACTTTATAAGAAGCTAAGGTACAACCAAGTAGCTTATTTCACTGTTTTTTATGTTGGAATGCTCATTTGTTATGAGCACTACTCAGTTTGCCTTATTCCATTAAAGAGATTGTTGGCATTTTGGTTTTTTTTAATTCTTTTGCTTCATGTTCCTAAAAACCCTGTTCTGTAAACTGAGTTAGACAACAAAACCGTAGACTTGACATGAAACTGTAACTTAAGTCATGCTTCGAGTGGCCTTCCTTCTGCCTGGACTGCTGGAGCACTGGCTGCACCATCTCACCCCGGCGCTGGTCGGAGCAGGGGGAGGGCACACAGGAGTTCTGACCTCAGACCTTACATCAAGGCAGTCAAATCCATTTGCACACCCTGGTGTTTGTATACGGACCTCTTTACTTGTCTTCAAATGTGCGGGTTTTTAAAAATTGTTGTCTGGAGTAGGTTACATCTCTTATGTGTGTTAGATCGAACCAAAGAAGCCTCCAGCCATGCCCAAATGCTGCTCCTAAAGCCTGCCTTCCAGTCCTTACAAAATCCCTGCAGGATTAAATGTGTTAACTTTTTTATTTTTGTACAGTTTCTAACTGATTTTTGCTAGTGATGTTAATTGAATTAAGTTTATTTGGGGAGTATGAATATCTCCTCCATTTAAATAAACTGGTGACTTTCCTTTTATGTTTAAAAAAAAAAAAAAGTTAAAAAAAAAAAAAAAAAGAGAAACCCAAAGTGTGCCTCTCAGATTTAAGGGTTTCTGGTTACATTTATTCTTAAGACCAGCAATGATTCTTTATATACAAAGATATGTTTTCCTCGTTTTTTATTACTGTTAAAGAAAAAATAAAAAAGAAAAACCTCTTTCTTTGCTCTGGACCCAGTAATTGCGCTGGTACATAAACGCACTGAGAAAACAAACTTTTGTTTGAAACTTTTGTAACAACTTATGACTGTTTTTGTATATCAAAGTTGATTCTTTTCAAGATATTTGGATCTAGTTTCTAAGTTATTTTAGTGTTTTATATGTTACAAAAAAAAAAAAAAGAAAAAATTACTTTAAATTGTTCACCAGCATCTTGAGTTATCTGTAATGCAATGGTGACACACGATGGGCTCAGAGCTACCTGGAGTAGCTCGGACGGCCTCTGTCCGTTCCTTCCTTCCTTAGTAACTTGATCGATGACAGTAATATCACAGATTACCTGAACCCCCTTCCTTTATAACTAGATCCTCCTTCCTTCCACATTTAATTGCTATTAGTGTGAAGAAACTGTTGAAATGGGCATTTTAATATAAGTACAGCTTAAAAAAGAGAAAAATGAGGGAAAAAAATTATAGAAAGGTTATCTGTGGGTCTGTGAGATATGGCTGTGGAAAGATATTGTAGTAGTTTTAACACTATTGTTATTACCTTTTAAATCATTTACCCAATAAAATAAGGAAAAAGAATCACCATTTCTTTTTATGTTTCTCTGCTTAATTGCGTGGCTTGGTCAATTCTTTTATTTAAGCATTTGCGCTTAGTGTCGATGTTAAAGGCTAATGACGTGTTGGAAATACTTTCACGCGATTAATCTCTCTTTCTGTTTTGCCTGCTATAGGAACAGAGCGTGGCCAGGTGCACGCAGCTTTCCCTCTAATTCAGACGTGAGTTAACACTCCCAGTTAAATCAGCTTTGTATCAGTTCCATCATTATTTAGATCAGTGTTCACAGAAGTTACCACTTCAGTTTCGTACTTTTCATGTCTAAGTTCAAACATGGAATTTTGCCCAGACTTGGGTTCCTTCTTCTCTGAGAGGGAGAAGTGGTTTCAAGCTTTTTAAGCAGAGCTTTGTAGTTGCACTGGTGTAACAAGTACGTCACCTACACTACTTGTAGCAACGTTATTCCACAGAATAATGTGGCAAAAAGTGTGTATCAAAGGATATCTTGAAGCATCACCTAAACTAATGTCAATACTTTCTTTGCATTACTCTTTCAGCAGTAGGTGTGACATTAAAGAATATCTAGGCTTGCTTTGCCATGAGGGATCTCTTATCTTGCATGTCATATCTAGCTGATGTGTAGACTGTCATATTGACCAGATTTTATGGAAAAAA